TTACTTCTCCATTTTATGAAAAAAAAAGAAAGCACAAAATAAGCAACAATTGAGTCGTTGAATTGTCCAGAAGTGTTGGTACAATCTGTAAACCTTTCAAATAAAAACTTAGTAAAAAGTAAAAGCTGAGACATTCTTATAACCCGCCTACATACAGTTTTGTCCCGCAAAAAAATCAAGAAGAATTTTTTTAAGATCATGCTTTCCTCATACGACAAATTCAGCTTCGGAGTTATGACCCCTATGATACATATCGAAAGCCCCAAATATACCACCTTTACATCAAGTTGTAAAGAAAAGTTGGACTTGAGAAAAAGGAGGTCATGTCCTTATTTTGTTAGCTTCTGATAAGAAATGAGTAAAATCATTTTCCCCCTAAAGAAATAAAAAAACAATGCGTATTTAATCACCGTTAGTTGGAAAAGGTCGGACCTGACCATTAAGTTACTTACGTTTTTGTTCTTTCCCGAAAAGTGGACTCCATTTTGTAAGGATTGCGATGGAAATTTGACGTGGTTATAAATATAGTTACTGTAGCTTTGTATTTCGACAAAAAAATATACCTTCATAATAATCATTACATGCTTGAATAGTTAACTAATATGTTCCCTGTTGAACAGATTTAAATGGACTATATATTTAAACATAAGATTTTAAAACATTTCCTTCTTTATCATTGTTTAAATACAAGAATATTTCTTTGGGATCGCCATCAGTGGGCAGGGACTATTGAAATTGACAAGAGAGGCCTCGTGTATTTTAAATATATTAGTCTACATTTGTAAATTATAAATCTAAATTTTTTTCACAATGAAATGGAAATACAGGATAAGGAGTCACTGTCTAGTTAGTAGAGTATGCTAGGGACATCAACGTTAGTTTCCTACTATTGTTTATGTCCCTAGCATAATCTACCAACTAGACAGTAATTCCTTAAATAGTTATATACAATACAAAATGTCATTTAAAGTACCACGAAACAGAATGCTGTGTATTGTTTGAATGATGCAGGATAACCTCGTCGGTCTCGAAAGGTTGTTTGAAATACATATAAGAGCCTCGATTTTAAATTTCAAACAACATTTCTGCAACTTTCACAAAAACGTGGACTTTACGAGGGTTGATTCAAAAGCTCGCGGAATATCTTCATATTTTATTTATATTTCAGTGAAAATGGCTGAAAATTAGAAATAAGAATATAGACATTTGTTAATTTTTTTAAATGAAAAAATTTAATTACCTAGCTATTCATGATAGAATCTTTATGGCAGTTACCATAGAAACGGGTGTTTGAAAATCCAGAGGAGATATCTACTCGTTCATTATCATTTTTATTATTAATACCTGAAATGAGAAAAAATCGCGCTAAGTGGCATATGAAACGAAAATAATGTAATTATTACGATTGCTTGACCTCTTCTGAATCTATGTGTGAGAGTTTTCACGATTTAAATGGAAATTTAGTTTATTAGTTGATGATTTATTGATTATATTTAAATTGTTAGACAACGTCAGATTTCAATGAAGTTATGTTTTGTGAAAATCTTGTGAACACTGACTTACACGCGTATATACTACTAATACAGGCTGAAGAAAAATGCATTAGGCAACTGGTTTTCCAATAGCGTGAGAAATTTAAGAAAAAAAAAAAGAAAAATATAACTTCCATGAAGTTGATTAAAGGTTTCTCAACAACTGATACCATATATGTTTCACATACAATGATTACCAGACAATGAATCGTAGAGGTGGAAGACTATAATGCTGTTTTATAGATTGTAAAAAAGAGCATTTGATTTTATAGATAGGAGAAGCTTAAATTTTGGTTAAGTTAGTAAAACAGAGCATTGAAGGAAAACTATTAAAAACAATAAAAGTACTATATACCATTGTTAAATCATGTATTAAGTCAAATGGTGTATTTTCTGATTTTTTTGAAAATAGAATTGGTCTACTACAAGGTGAGATCTTATCACCAATATTGTTTTCTCTTTTTGTTAATGATTGTAAATTACTTTTTATAAGGAACAACTAAACATGTTCTTGCTTATGGATACTAATGACTGAATCTGCTGATGTACATGTACTGCAGAAATTGTTAGACTCTTTACTGTTATATAATCAAAAATGGAAGTTGAAATTTAACACTGAAAAAAAAATTGTTGTGTTTAGAAATCAAGGAAATGTAAAGATATCTGAAAAAATTATGTACGAGGGTAAAGAACTGGGAATTGTTAATGACTTTAATTACCTATGTATGCTGTTTAATTTCAGTGGGAAATTCAGTATCACTCAGAAGCAGATCGCCGATCAAGGTCGGAAAGCATTTTTTGCAATTAACTCAAGAATGAATAATTACTACCTAAATATTGAAACAAAGTGTGCAGGTTTTGATACATATGTGACAAGTGTTTTGTCATATGGAGCTAAGATATGTGGTTTTCACGTGCACAAGGCCAAAGATTGTTGAACAAATTTATAGTAACTTTTGTAAGAGGGTCTTATAGGCCAGGGTGTGCAATTATGCATCCCAAACGATATAGTGTATTATAAATTAGGCAAATTACCTCTGCATCTTTCAAAGAAACTTCAAATTTTGAAATATTGGCTTAAAGTTTTAAAAATACAAAAAACTGTATATTAAAAGCATGTTATGAAAATTCTATTTTTAGTAGCCAAAAGCAATATATTTTCGTCATTTTTTTAAACAAAGAAGACATTGTCTTTAAAGTGCAGATCTACACAATGTATAAAATTCCATCAGAATCGGGCAAGAAAACTGATGAGATACTAGTATATCACTGAAATCCGACTCCCTGTATATATGAGCCGTATAAACTCTGTATAAGAGTGCATATAGTGCGGATCGAAGTGACTGACAATGTGATTATAATTAGATTGCAGTTATTGATTTACGAGTTTTCCTTCCATCTGTTAATTTGTTACATTTCTCTATCTCTGAGTTACGCCTAAGTCATCAAACCATATAAGTTTGTGCGTCTTTGGACAAAGGTGTGTGTTGATACTTAGCTACACTCCTTTGGGGGAGAGGTTTTCTCTTGACAATTAGAGACAACTTTCATTCATTCAAACCTAGTAAGCTTGAGGCATCTTCAGAAATAGGCCTATATAAAAGATATCTCAAATTCAGGATACAGCATACTGTAAAATCACTTATTTTCTCGGGATCAAATTTTCCTGGTTTGAGGAAAAATTTGGACTTGTGTGGATGTAATATTGTGGATGAAGAATTGTTGAGTAGTTATGTATGTGATCATGAAATTTTGCATTTCGTGGTGGACGTAAATTCAGGGGTTTCTTCATAACTCAAAACCAATGAAAATTAAACCCACATGAAAACTGGTGATTTCACAGTTAGTGCCTCTGTGATGCAGTTTGAGAGCTGAAAATATGTGTATGTATTCATAGATCTTGTAGTATACAATTTTTCAAACATAGAGGTGGACATAAGTATATACACTCAGCTTTTAATATTTATAAACCTTGACTAAAACCATTTCCCTCAAAACTGATAACAAATTGCATACAGTTATTGCCATTTTATTTTTAAACAAAACCCGTATCTCTAACATGAAATAACTCTACACATTTTGATGTGATCACTAACTTAAAATTGTTGATGCAACATAAAAACAAGAAAAAAAATGGCATTATTCAGATCATTCCATCACATTAATCATTTGTATACAGTAAAGAAGTATTTTAATACTTCTTGTCAATGAGTGAAACATGATGATTTTTACAACTTTCAAACACATAATGTTGATGCAACCATTCAAAACAAATAAAAACATGTATGTACTTCTCTTTTCAACGTCCATCAATTTACATGTAACATGGCCTCTGAAATATTGACATATACATCTTTGAGGCAGATTTTTTTTTTTTCATTTCCTTCCCAATTAAAATAATTCACCATTAAAATAATTCACCATTTTTTTCTTTTAAACTCTTACAACAGAACACACATCAGCTCATACATTCTAACTGGGATATGCTTTAGATCAACGCTCACTCTAGTCACTACATGTGTCAACAACTTGGACAGAAGATGGTAAAAGATACAATCTTCACACACATCTGACATATATTTTCAGCAGAATGCCTTTTACAACAGTTCTGTTATTGACTCTTCCAACAACATTTTCAGTTCTTCACTCAACCCTTGAGTCACAAGGGGGATAACCCAATTCCTTTGTAGCAGCATTGGATTCATCTCTATAATCACAAGTCTGGCTGGCTTCCAAGAGACCTTTGTGAAAGCACACTGTGAAAGGAGTTATCTTCCCTTTCTTTTTTTTTTTAGGTTTAATACTCTAAATAGGTTGTATCACAGTTCATCACAAATGTAAAATAATTCTTGATGAGGTAAGCCCATTTCTTTGAGTAAACCATAACCACATGAGTAAATGTAATATCTAGTCCTTCAGTCAGTTTTTGTCTTTGGTTGAATTTCATCATACTGTAAAATAAAAAAATATATATATATATGTTTTCAAACTAAATATGACAATGTTCAATACATAAATTCAAATCATCTTTCTATTCAGTAATGGCAATTCTTTTTTTACAGTTTCGGATCAGTCTACATTTTGAGCAAAAATAAAAAAAAAAATGATATGTGCCATCATAAATACTAAAAATTTAGCAGTAGGGAAAAATCTGCTTTATGTTCCAATAAATACAACTTGTTTATATCAAAGTGAATATGTTTTAAAAATTCAACATCTATTTATATCTTTATGGTCTCTGAACAAAAAACAATGAGACATATTTTTCAGAGCTCGTTAAGTCAGATGACAATTTGATATATTTGAAAAATGGTTTTTGTTGCAAAAAAAGCAGGAAATAGTCAGTGGATGTATATACATGTATAACAAATTTACCAGAGCCAGCTGCCTGCCTATATTTCCCATGGTCACTCCACCAGAAAAAAAGATACAAGGCAGCCATGATCTTACAAACAGGAACTCAGCTTTAGAGTAACTGAAAGAAAATATCAGAACAAAGGTTAATCATATGCATATTTCACGAAAAACATGTAAAATAAATTTCCCTCCATCACATGATCATACAAAATTCTTAATAAGCTGTAGAAATAGCCATAACACTGTACTTTTTTAGGGAATGAAAACTAAGACACACATACATGTATACAATACTGTTAAAATTTACTTTTTCAGATAGCTACAGTTCTGCAGCTTCTATTATGTCTATAGAAAAGGTTTTGTTATTTATCAGTGATTGGTCATTTTCATTTAGCATTTTTTCTCTCTATCATCATTTGATCTTCCAACAAGAGGCTAAAAATCAAAATTTTTGAAAAAGTAAAATGGAGGGTAAATGTTATCGATCAAGGAAACATTCCTTTAATATTTGTGAGAAAATTTCGCTATTCATGATCAACAGTCCTCTAGAAATTTTTTTTTCTCATGTTTTGAAATCTTTTAAATACTGTAAACCAACTTTTATTCACGTGCGACAAATTTTCGCGATGTTCACGAGAGCCTCGTCATCGCGAATATTTCTCGCCGCGAACCGGTTCTTAAAGTCTATGTCTCTATTAAAAGAAACCTAAATAGGCTTTATCACGAAAATTAACTGTCACGAACTGGTTTACCCCCGGCAAATCGCGAAATAAAGTCGTGAATAAAAGTTGGTTTACAGTACTTAATTGTTCCACAATATAACTGAGGAATCTACTGTACAATAATGTTTTGTAGAAAGATATTTTTTTTTCTTTTTAACTTACTTGTATACACCATAAAAGACTAAAAGTTGTGTGACTAGAGTTGCTAGGACGGCGATCCCCACCCCCAGGCCGAATCCACAGGGGGACCGGTCAAACAGCCACCACAGACCTATAGACATGGCAGCTAGGGTCATAGAGAGCTGCATATTGTCCACAAAGTCCAGTTTCTTTTATTGTGGTTAAGGATCATTCAAAGCAACATTTTCCCACAATTCTTAATTCTTGTACTAAATGTATTGGCATTTCAAACCCAATCTAATCAAAATTAGATTGCTTCAAACCATGCCTTTTCTGGACATTTTGACTAAAACACCTATTGTATCTGACTATTTTGTCCATATTTAACACACCTTATCAAAGTAACAAACAAGAATTACTAATAGTATTCTGAACATTCTGTGCTTTCTGTTTACCTGTTAGATTAAATTACAGGTGGTGCAGGTGAAATGATTTGTGTACAGGGTAACATAGGTCCTAAGCTTAGATGTATATGATAAATACTGACATTATCAAGATTTTACATTAAACATTCGTACTAATCTGTCTTGGTTAACTGAGCTAAAAATATCCATAGCAGGTACTGATAGTTGATAATCTGGAATGATCGTTATCATAAGTCATAACCTACTGTAAACAAAAATAAATACTATTACATGCATTGCATGTACAAATAAGTCTCTCTTGTATCATCCCGTTTCATTTTTGTAACATACATGGTTGGGCATGTTACAAATGGGTATGTGCTATTTCAGTCCGACGAAAATCAAACCTTCTACTAGCTAGCTCCTTTGATGGTCATGTGGAAAAATGCGACCATCAAAATAAAGGAGCTACTCCAAGCTAGTAGAAAGTTTGATTTTAATGAGACTGGTGCCATTTTCAATAAAATACAGGTCTGCCCTGGTAACAGTGGTACATGTATTACAATATAAACATGTTTGTGTGTGAAGGATACAGCACTGGCATGGTTGATGCCCACAAATACAGCTATACATCTCATGACTTTGGACCACTCCCCCTTCCTGGACTCTGGGTCACTGATCTGTAAATGTCGATCTAGACATGGGTATAGAAGGCCTATCATTGCTGAAAAACAGAGAAAATGCTTATTAGATACATCTCTACATTGGGGATGGATTAAAGCAATATGAGCTGCATTTTTGAAAAATTTATTTTGCTGTTGAAATGTGTCATTATGATTAATTTGTATGTAACTTAAACCTTTATGATCAATTAGACTAAAACAAAGCAGAAGAAAGACTTATATATACAATCCAATATACAGTTTTATATAAGATATCATTATTGTACAGGACGACAATAATGTAATTGTGATTCAATCGAAGCTTATAAATAGGTTTTTTCATCACAAATATGAACAACATAATTTTATAAACGCTATTTTTCTATCACTGAAACAGTTATTTACAATTCGGCAACAAAAAATTCCGACATCAAAGTTGCAGCTATTATTGCTTTAAATGCCCAGGAACCCCATACAATTTTGGTATCTGGAAAATAGATAGATCTAATATACCATAGGTGTGTTTACTTTTCATCACTAGTCAGCTGCATACTAGTATATATCTATTTGACCAGTCACCTCTCAAATTTTCTTTATAATTATCTTTATACTGCTAATTTGCTATAAACTTAAGAAACTGTTTAAAGAGTCAGTATTATTATTCATTTTAGTCTTTGTAAGGCTCTGAATCTAAGTTCCGATTTACCAAGTAAACATGAATGTAACATTCACATGTTAACCTGCTGAGCTCTCAATTTACAATATGTTAATTGTACATAAGGACAGAGCTCAAGACTTCATAGATAACCCAGATATTTCATAATATCTAGGTCACTTCTGTTTATAGACCCAGTCTGATTCAGTTTTCAGGTGACCGTCCCTATCTGCTACTTAGACATGTAGATATATACAAGTAGGACACAAGTACCTGGATAATTATACCTACTCACACAAATACTGACACATGCAGACACGTATTCAAATTGTTGCAGACAATATGTAAACAAGAGAGCTTAACTGGCAATCTGACAAGTATTTTATCAATGACATGGGTTATTATGTGTGTTTAGCTTTATATGCATGGGAATTAGCCACTTTGTTACTAGGAGAAACATTTAATCTTCATGTAAAGTATCCACTGTGTTACATGTAAATAGCAGAAATATTAAGTCTTCATCATGTAAAGATTAGGTAATTTTCTTGGAAGGTGGTTTTTGTAAATGTCTGTAATTTGCAAATTGCATTATGTACAGTCACATTATCTTCTCTGCAGTGCATACAAAACATGTCATTAAATATTGTCTGCATGACTTTATCATTTCTTCTTCAACTATTTAAACAATACATGCAAGTCCATCCATTTTGAAAAAAAAACCCATCAAATATCATAACTGTGTTTCTAAAATATGAGAAATGCATGTCAAAGTCAAACTTTATATTAAAAATCTGGAATAAACCTGGAATATATGTTCATTTGGTGTATTTACAACACTGAGAGTCATTTAAATGAAGAAAAAACCTGAAGGAAAAACAGTGGCATTTCAAATCTACAAAACCCTATTAAGAGCCAGTCCACGAGAAAACCATGCAGAACTGTCCAAATCGAAGGTTGTCATATCTTAATGAAATTTGGTGGGTAGTTAGACTTTATAATATGTTATTAAAAAATGACCAAAAAAATTCCCATCATTCAACATGGCAGCCGTAGGCAGCGCCACCTCCTTTTTGCACATTTAAGTGCAAATGCACTTAAAAAATTCAAGAAAAATGGTAAAATTCACATTTGATTTATTTTACTCAAAATTAAACTTGCATTTGCATTAAGGTATTTTGAATAACATAATACTATGTTCTTTCAAAATTGACATTTATCATAATCAAATATGCAATATATCAAAGGGCAGACAACTCTTGAAAATTGGCATTATGCCAATTTTCAAGAATTGCCAAAAGTATTACAAATTTAATGCCCAAAATCTTCCAAGACCAATCTTTGAAATTAATTTTTTTGATTTTATTGTACAAATATAACTCTAAACATTATCTTTGCCAAATATTGAGCTTGGGAAATAATAAATAATTGAGATATGGGGATTTACAAATTGCCAATTTTCGAAAAAAAATTGCTCAAACTCAAATGGGTTACAAAGTCAAATATGGTACTTTAAATTATAAACAATTGTTTGTTAGATATTGAAACATGTAAAAATTTTCTTTGAAATAATAATTAAGAGTGGAAAATATTAAAATTAAAAATTAAATAAAACTAAATTGTCAGAAAATACCCCTAATATGAGGATTAGCATTTTGCCAATTGTTTAGAAATGAAAAAAAAACATAATAAATTGTATTGGCTTACTTGCAATTTTTCAACAATCATATGAATATATATGTTCCTTACATTTTTAAGTTAGTTTCTTTATAATTAATAAAAGGGAAATTACAAGTATTTAAATTCAAACGGACTCAGTATCATTCATATAAATTTTGAGACTTGAACATATAATATTTGAGCCTTCAGTAAGTTGTTTGCTAGCTGCAAAACTGTAGCTTTCCGAAAAAATATATATTGATAGACCGGAGGGCTACAGTTCCACCTGTATATTTATTGCGCATAAAAAATGTACTTGGTTCTGGATTAATTCTTCCAAATTCTTACCTCAATTGCAAAAACGGCTAGATTTAAATAAAGTCCTTACTCCTTTATCGATTAACGACATGGTTTACATCACAGGTGCTTGAGGACAGGACCCCCCCCCCCCCTCCCCAATATAGACCCCGGGCCTGTTAGACTTTTTTCACATAAATTATGTATGGATGACACATTTGTGATATAATCTATCCTATCAATTCAGAAAATTTGCTTAAACTTACATTTTATAAAAATATCTACTCTCTCTATATGATTTTTATATAGAGAATGTTGGGTAGATTTAATAAAACGTTTGTTTTAGGTAATTTTTCGATTTGCTGGTATAGAACTTATCACAAATATGAAAGATAATTTTTGAGAAACAATTGAAAAAGCCTAGGGGTCTATATCGAAGGGGGGGGGTCCTGTTCTCAAGCACCTGTGAAATTTGAGATGACAGTTTTAAGAACACGGAGAAATAAATCGAGAAACAGCGCATTTTTTATGCGCAATAAATATACAGTTTTTTTCAATGGGTGACACTGTAGCTCTCTGGTCTATCAATATATGTTTTTTTCGGAGAGCTGCAGTTCTGCAGCTAGTTGTTTGCTTTCTGCCAATTTTAAAATGGTACAATCTTATATAAATACTGACAGGGGATATTATACAAAAAGCTCCATAAAGGAGTTTAAGAAAATGAAAGATGCTGGAGTTTACTCTTATCCCACCTCCCGATTCCCGAATCGAACAATTGCCTTCTTTTTTCGCTTGGCAAATTCTTTTCAGGTAAGTTTAATTTTAACCCCCCCCCCCTCCCGACCCTTTCAAAATCGTTTCTACACCACTGCTATGACTGCAATTTTTGTGAATAAGAGATTTTATGAACATGAATAAATCAACTTTATTCAAATAATGGGGGATTGAATTTCTAAAATATATATTGTTTATAAATTTGTTTGTTAAAGGTGATTTAATCTAAAATAAAAAAAAATATAATACATTTTCCGTTCCTCGTTTTAGCAACACCCCTCTAGAACCCTTATCATTTTTCATTATTTTATCCATTTCAATATTAGTATGTAAATTGTGGAGAGGTGGATGGGGTTAAACGATTGGGAACTAGATACACTCGTATATTTAATATCCTGACCTTGATCGACTGACACGCCCCCTCCCCCAACTGTTTTCAGTGGATACATATAACATTTAAAAAAACAATTTATCTCTGTCTGCAATGGTACATGTACCCCCCCCCCCCCAATTTGAATGAATATGAATCCAGTTGTAACGTGAAGCAGTCACCCATCCAAGGGTTAAACAGGTTCGCCGTTGCTTAACTTGCCTGATATAGAGGGAGACTCTACCGCATCACCAGAAAGGCTAGCTCACTGGCGAGACAGTATACGTTCCCTATATACTAACTGTCCGCTACACTTCCCCCGCTCAGGGAAGCTTCGACCCGAAGCTTAGCAGGAGTTCTCTATGAGTATTTGGGCCTCTTCAGCTACGGCAACCAATGCCGTTCCTGGACACGAAGTCCGTACCTGGACACAAAGTCCTAGTCTTAGAGCTTCCTGAAGCAGATCGGAATCTGACTTCAAATACGGCAGCCCCTGTCGTCCACAGACACGAAGTCTGTATATGGACACCAAGTCCTAACTCTAAGACTTCCTGAAGCAGGACACCAGACACCCAGAGTCAGTACGCTGCCACCAAGCGGTCACCCATCCAAGGGTTAAACAGGCTCGCCGTTGCTTACAGGCACGTAGCATCGTTTTTGAAAGTCTAACTTACCTGAAAAAGTTGACAAGCAAAAAAAAAACAAAGTTGAAAAACCTATTTCGTGGGGGTGGGGGGGGGGGGGGGTGGGGGCAGCTTTTTCAAAGCTTTTTCAAAGGCAAGTTACTTTCACTTCCAATTTTTTCCCTACATTTCCCTGATATTATTATACCCTGGTAAAAAGTGTGGGGGCCAAGCAATCTTTCAATGTATATTTACTATAGTAAAGGTAATGTTGGGGAAAAAAGTAGGGGGGGCAGGCCCCCCTGCCCCCCCCCCCCGCCCCGATTGCTACGTCCCTGCCTTAACTTGCCTGGAGGGAGACTCTACCGCATCATCAGAAAAGCTAGCTCACTGGCGAGGCAGTATAAGTTCCCTATATACTGTCCGCTACACAGAGTTTTATCATGTGTATAGCCAGTTTTAAATTTTTACCACTTTGTACTGCAAACTAGCAAAGTTTTGGCTGCAGTAACGACTCATATTTTCTTTGGTGGGGGAGGGGGGTAGTACCCTCCCCCAAATAATTTTGCCAATATTTATCGTGGAGGGTCCTATATCGGTGGGTTACCTAAATTGTTGGCATCTCCTTTTGAGCTGATGATTTTTAATGTGAGGTCTGACTTTATCAATATATGAATGTTACATAACACAGTAGTTTAAAGTATGTAATGTAAAATTAAAAATATTCCTAGGAATGACGGTGTTTGGTTAACTCAAAAACACACTAAATTTATGAAACCTAAACATTTTACATGTAGATTGAAATTACAAATTATTTCTCAATTTGTTTAGAGTATGCAATCGAATACCTGTTTGCATTCTTATATTTTCTCAAATGATGACAAAACAAGTTGCTAAGAAACTAAGAAAACTCCGTGCGTTTATATTGAAAATATATGATTTTAGTTAGTCATTCCTCCATGATTTTTCTATCCCTCGCTTAATTATTTCATTACATTGTATTACATGTTTCATATGTGTTTTTCTTTTCCTATTCCTTTTCTATTCTGATTATGTATATCATATACTTGTCCTCTGACCTGAATTTATATGTTGTAAATATTCTTCATTGTCCTCATGTACCTGAAATGGTTTGAGTGAATAAAATGATCTTCAACTTGAACGGGTCGAGGTGCCTTAAACAAAATATCAAATGTATATTTTGATTAAAAATATGTTATTATTTGATTAATTCCTATTCAATTGTACTTGTTAGGGAAAAAAAAATTGTATCTGTTAATTACCATGAAATAAATGTAGATTCGAATTCCCCGAGGACAGAACCCTATAGAATAGAAAACATACCTACTACATGTATATGCCCCAAATAAAAAACAACTGATGAACTTTTATGTTTTATTTTTACTTTCTATGGAATTCTTGGTATTTTTTTTTATAGTTGATAATGTAGGTTGTCCCCCCTCCCCCACACTGAAATTGCTTCCTATGGGCCTGTTACATGTATTTGTTTATTCAAGCTAAATTGTTCTTTTTTACATTCAAATATCTTAAAATAAGTTTTCCCTCTTTCATAGTGCAATAATGCTCCACAACAACTCCCTAGGTGAAGAAAAAATGATCATACATGACTTTCTTCTTTATTGACATACCTGTCACTTTTTACCCAATAATACAAAAGAGTTCCAACAAGGGGAGATAACAATTTAACTCCAGCAAATTGGTAACAAGGGGGTAAAATAAGCAAAAGAAAGTTATATGAAGTGTCCAAATCAGTTATTCCTCTTCTACAAAATATATTAGATTAAGAATCTTCTCTTTTTCTTTAAATATCATAGAAATAATCCAAAAATATAGTAAAAGACTGTTATTTAAAATATGTGAAATTGTAGCAAAATATGGTATTTCAAAGTTAATTTACAGCATGTAGATGTTATTTCCCAAGCTCGATATTTTAATACAGAGTAGACCTTAGATCATTCTTAAAGTAAGAATTAATTTGATTTAATTTCAACCTTGGTCTTAAGAGAAACGAGCATCTAAAAATGGCTAAAAAATCATACTCATTTATTTAGGATCTATAAATAGATGTGTAAAAAATAAAATATTCATTTGAATTAAGTTTTTCCTCATTAATTGTGTTCAATGGACCATGACTTTGAAAATAAAACAAAATTTGAAAATAAACTGATGACAAAAGGTAACTTTTTGACTTGATCAATTTGTATACATTTTCCATTAAATTTTGTGTGATTTTCGACAAATATGCAAATGAGCTGTTACTAAAAATAGATGCAGGGTTCGACATTTTTTTGTGGATATTCTGACTTCTACCTTTATGTAGAAAATTTTAAGCCACTAAAAATTCCCAAGTTGCAACCTTCCATTTGGACGATTTTTTGAATTTTGCATGGTTTTCTCGCGGACTGGCTCTTAAATGTGGTAATGTGGGGTATAAATGTGGTAAGCTACAATAACTTGTCAAAATGCGTACTAAGTTCTAGCAAGACCCTGTAAAGAACATAAATTGTACGATTTACTAAAGATTTTGTTTAAAATTATACCTGCAGCGGCTCCACACATGGGCGGCACCCACCACTCTTTCAGAAAAAGGTTCTCCAGCAGTTCTGGGGGTAGTTTCACCGAGACGTCACCCTGCCTGTTGATCTGTAGGAGGTTCATGAAGACCGCAAAGAAATTGCCGATCAGAAAGAGAACTGTACCTCGAAGTAACAGACCCATCTTGGGAATACCTACATATGAGAAAATGGGAATACCTACATATGAGAAAATGTTGGTCAGATTTTCTATAAAATTAGCATACAAAGAACTTCACTCAACATTTTTTAACACAGTCAGTCTAAGGCAGACTTATAAACAGCTGTTTTGGCCTATGAAACAAAAATGGACTGCATAAAACGTTGCAAATTCAGTGTGCTTATAATGCAGGCAAGATGTACGCTAATAAATGATTTTGGAAATACAAAAACTGATAAACTACCGTTATATACAACGCACTGACCACCTGCAGTTTACACTAGCTGTGGCAAAAATGTAAACAAAGTTCCTAGGAATAATTTTCCAGCATTCTTCTCTACAATTTTATGTTTTGACACATTAGAAATAAAACCTGAATCTTACCTGAGTGTAACTGTTGTTTACAAATTTTTCTGTCTGTTGATAACGGTTACTTTTCCTATATATACACTGATTTCTGGTGACCGGTGAGTGTTATGAATTCTGACGCCTGATGGTCGTACCATAAAGAAATCTCGGATGATATACAATGAGCCAATCAAAATCAAGGAATTCTTGAATGATTAAAATAATCAACCAATCAATATTTAGATTTTTCTCCCGCCATGACTGTCAAGAAACTGATCGTGGGAAATTCTTCCGGTTCATCTATTTATAATGTAGATCATGTGACTTTCAAAATGGCGTTGAAGGGGAGTGTGTTTGCGACGAGAGCTCGTGCTGGGTCATCGAAATTGGCCACACAGTACGATGCAGACGGCAATGAAATAGAGGTATCTATAGCCATTGCAGATATCCATAATTAATGCGTTTTTCCAAACATAAAGTGAAATTTTGCAAAAGAAACATAAAAAATAGCATTTGCCATTTGGATAGGCCAAAACCAGAAAATTTGGGGGTGTTTGTTTTACGCCCCTACGAGAATTTTCGCTCACATTGAGATACCACCACTTGCTTGTTGAGGAATGCAAATGCAAATAAGGCCGTTGAACCGAGAGGGATTTTTTTTTGTCTCAGCACTAGAGCAAAACATTAGATCTAATGCTTTAACCACTGCACCACACTTGTGACTAAGTCAGCTGGTAAACATAAGCTTATCCATTACAGTATACAGTGGAGTCGCCAATTCCGGGTCGTCTCCAAATTCCGGGTCACTCATTGTATTTTATGCCATATTGTTAAAATGAAAGCGCAAAAAACTTAATGAATACGCTGGTATTGAAGAACTGGTCTTTCTGTGTATGATTAATAAAAAAAATTGAATATCAACCATAAGAGAGCATGCGACATCGAAATTCTGAAATGCACGCATTTAAGACTTGAATGTTTCTGCTGCGGTGATGGCTACTTTCGTTTTTGTTCGCTGCAGAAAGGCTGATATACATGTAAAAGTTCTAGATAAATAATAAGAGCTCGAAAGTATGGCAAATGCATTTAGTTTTAACTCAGAAATAAATCATAATGATCGCTGCTCAAATAAAATTAAAATGATTATTAAATCGAACTGTAGTAGTTTCTCCAATTGCGGGTCACGTACATCATGTACATCTCGTGGCATGAACATGTCAAAATTCTATGTACAAAACCAATCGACAGCCATGTATTTACCTTGATTATCAAAAGTATTCTAACTGGAAAATATTTTTTCTAAAAATTAAAATCGAGTTAACCCTTCAAATATATTTTTTTAAATAAATGAAATTAATTGTATTATTTTTAATCCTAATACATTTTTTTAAATTCTGCATACTGCAATTTCTTTTGTTGTAATTATCAAACATATATCTGTGGTTGTTTTACCTGTTTTCCAAGCTGCATGAATTGTTTTATGTTTAAACATAATAAAAATCGTGTTCCGAAACGTTCCATGAATATTACACGACCGTAAAGTCACATGACCCGGAAACGGAGAAAATGATTCGTAACTGGGGAAGCTAGGCTTTGTTGAAATACCCCTGTAAATATTGTTCCCGTGTAGCTATACTTTGAAAACGAAAAGGTGTTTGGATAACTCACAATTTGTTCTTTGAATACATATATTGCATAAAATATAAATTGAACAGATTTGCAAAATATCAACGAAACACCCTGATGTGACCCGGAATTGGCGACTTCACTGTAGTATTATGTGTTTCATTAATAAAGAAATAATTGTGAAATTGTGCATTTTTGGAAGATCAGCACAAAATTTCAAGTTCAATCAAAGGCACTCGTCACAACATCTTAAATAATGCTATATTATAAGGGCTGATACAGTACAAACCCATTGTGGCCCAATTAAAAAAATATATTTTCACTGCAATTATTATTCCCTTTTTTTAAAAACTATTTTGTAAAAGTTGTTGTTTAGTACCGGTAACTGTTGAATTCATCTTTGCAGTTTGATGTGAGGGAAGATGAAGAGCAGAATGTTAAACTGGGACAAACTATTGACTTGTTGTTGGCTGCTGGATACTTCAGGGCCAGAATCAAGGGACTCTCACCATTCGATAAAGTATTCTATTGTTCTTCTTATCTACATGTATTAATAACATAATGCAGACTTTAGTTAATACAGTGAAACTTCAGATTTTGTGCATTCTGAAATCTTGTCTTATTTGGCGCAAACACAAGTTGGAATGCATTGGCACAAATAAATTTTAGCACTTGAACTTGTCAGTAATATATATAAATGTGATATTTTGTTTTTTTATCCACACCGGTATTTGACTTTTTGGTTAGTCAAGCATGGAAACACATTAGTACTCCCGTATATCAGTAAACATTTGTTACCTTTTCCGCGGTACGTGTAGCTATCATATGGACGTTGTACAATGTTAAAATTTATTTCTATTTTCAATTAAAAGAAATCATTCAAATCACGTTTAAACAATGCATGCATCGACAGAAAATTACTTAGATAAAATGGTAATCCTAATCAGGTATTGTCTGCAACCTCAATCGCCATGCTTGATTGCATTGTTTACCTCGAGGCGATAGATGATTGACACACCGAGAAGCCAAACTTTGAAGGTGCTAATGATAATAATCGGGTAACAACTACCTGGGTAACGATGGTTTAATTAATTTATAATGTGGCAGAATTTTCTGTCTTCCGAACATGTGCAGTGCTAGTGTGTATATAAAATTCCAATGACCCTTCGACATTACATAATCGCGCGTTCTGGTTTACATGTACTTACGTCAAAGATTTGAACACACACAAAAAATGATATTTAGAAATCCTTAAGCGCACAATAATTTTAGCGCTCAGGGGCTCTTGCGCCAAACGCGCTAAAATTAGTAGTGCGCCAAATATTCTCGTTTTACAGTATATTGTAAACTTTAAGTCCCTTTCAGTGAATTCAATAATTTTAAAGAATGCCTAGTTATCCTGCCAATTTCTGCCCAGATTAGACAATTACTATATTCATTAATGACTCAAAAAGGTACCTTTTTAATACTGTAAAATCACAAATTTTCGTGGGGATTTGAATTTGTGGATGAATTTAAGAATTGTTGAGTTGTTATGTATATAACATTTTAAAATTCTTTACATTTTGTTGTGGACATGAATTCATGTGTCTCTTCATACCTTGAAAACAATGAAAATTAAACCCTGGCACAAAAATTTGTGATTTCGCAGTACATGTACTAAAATTTTCCAGTAATTATACGTCTTTGCATCCACTACTCTACAGGTGGTAGGTGGAATGACTTGGTGTATCACTACCTGTAATATAGACATTGATGTCGACCTCTTGTTCCAAGAAAATTCAACCATTGGACAGAAAATGTAAGTAGATCTGCTTAGTCCAGCTTTTGACTTAATGCCAAGAATTATTTGAACTCATGTATTGGTTTGCATAAAATCTGCAGCTAAATGTACAATTTGGAGTGGTTCAATATTACATGTATATAATAATACTGCATGGTAGTTAGCAATATTTATCTCTTTGTCTTGAATTCCAAATTGCATTTCAATAGGTTTAGTGTTAGATGAGCACATATGCTTTATAAACCTTATGAATTGTTTTTCTGAATCAATAATTAGGGCCCCGCAAGAATTTGCGGGTGCCCTATAGTAATCACTCTGTCTGTCCGTCCGTCTGTCCAGCTGTCTGTCTGTCTGTCCGTCTGTCACTCTTCTGTCCACAAATTTTCTGTTTTTTTCTAATAACTTTTTTTATGGTTGCCCAATTATGTTCAAATTTGGTATGTTAGTTCAGTAGGCAGAAATACTTATTTTGATGCTAAGTTTGGTTCTCTATGTCTTCTGGTTTGGAGCTGGGGTGGTGGGGTAGATTCCTTTACTATGCATAAAAATGAATGGACAACATTTTTTATGGTTGCCCAATCAAGTACAAATTTGGTATGGTAGTTCAGTAGGCAGAAATACATATTTTGATGCTAAGTTTGGTTCTCTATGTCCCCTGGATTGGAGCTGGGGTGGTGGGGTAGATTCCTTTATATACCAAAGCATTGGCAAAGAGAGATAACTGCTCAAGATGTTCCCATTGTAAATTGAATGCTGCTATGAGTCCTTTGGGATTAATTAGCTTTCCTCCTGAAGAAAATCCAGAGCATTATCTTTATCTTTCAAATTGAGATGAATTACCACCTCTGTCTACAAATAAGTTTGTTTTGAAGTAAAGTCAATTTGGAATGCTATGAACACTCTGAAATGTGGATTTAAATTTTTATAATTTATTTTTGTTTAATAGTTATGATTTCATTGAATTCTAATAACAAAAAATAGATTAAAGAAGATTTTTTTAATTTGCTTTTTTCACTTTTTGTTAATTTAATTTTTAGGATAGTTGTATAAAAAAACACATTCTATCATTAATACGGAAAAAGTTCTTATTGTAACTTTAGAAGAAAATGATGAGAGAGGTAGTCAATTAATCCCTTGGGATTAATTATCTAGTCTGCTGCAGAAAATTTAGAAGGCTTTCCTTTATCTGTCTTAGATTAATGAAAACCTTTGTCTGCAACTGCTGTTTGTTTGAAGTTAAGGTCAAGCCTTCATGATATCTGCAGTCATTGAAGGCTGGCATTTTATATAACACAAGCTTCATAATTGTTTAAATATACATTCAATGTTAAGTTGCTCTTTACTGTCTAATGTAAATACAAGGATATTATTTTCAGGTTTTTGAATATTCAAGAATTATCTTGAAATTTTAAGAATACAGTTGCTGTTGCTTATTCTTGTACATTTTTTAATCATTCCGTAAGCTGCGACCTATTAATTCTACCCCATGGCGGGGCCCTTGCTGACTGGTCAGTTTTCTAGTTTTAATTTAAGATGAGTATGTAAATCCTATAAATGAATGCTGTATACATTTGCTTCGTATTTTTTTTTTAACAGTGCCTTAACTGAGCGAATCGTGGCAGTCCTTCCTAAGATGAAATGCCCTCACAGAATTGAGCCCCATCAGATTCAGGGGTTAGATTTCATTCACATCTACCCCGTAGTTCAGGTGAGAATGTATAAAGTGTTAAAGCTACTGTATATGCTAGGAAGAGAGTTTTCTT